TGGCCTCCTCTGGACTCGCTCCAACCAGTCTGTATCCTTCTGATATTAAGGGCTCCACAGCTGGACGCAGCACTCCAGGTGGGGTCTCACCAGAGCAGAGTACAGGGGCAGAATCCCCTCCCTCGACCTGCTGGCCACACTTCTCTGGATACAGCCCAGGATACGGTTGGCTTTCTGGGCTGCCAGTGCACACAGCTGGCTCATGTCCAGCTTTTCATCCATCAGCACCCCCAAATCCTCCTCAGAGCTGCTCTGTATCCACTCTCCACCCAGCCTTAGCCTGGTGTATTACCCTTACAGCCTTACCCTTGTATTTGGGACTGCCCCAACCCAGGTGCAGGTCCTTGCACTTGGCCTGGTTGAACTCCATGAGGTTGGCAGTAGCCCACCTCTCAGATGCCTGCATCCCCTCTCAAAGCTTACCAGGTGTCAGAGCTACGCATGGCAGGTCTCCCCCAGCACGATGCTGCTCTAGACACACAGCAGTTTTGGAGAAGATTTAGCTCCTGGATCTGAGAATCTGGTTTTCTTGAACCCACTCCAAAACCTTGTGTGTGTAACACTGATATGATGCTAAAATCAAAGGGGAATTGGTGGCACCTCACAGAAGAACAAAGAACAAGTTGTTCCTTTTTGTTTTTTTTTTCACTGAAGATCTCATTCTCTACAACAAAACCGTTAAAAGAGCATTTTTCCTTCTTTATTGAGGAAAATTATAAACAAAAAAGGATTAGCAAGAAAGAGCTGGAAGAGAAGGAAAATGTCCTTTCAGTCTGTAAATGCTCCATAACCACTGCCAACTCAGCAAGTCGTATCAAGTATTTGCCCCAGGAATTAGAAAGTTGAGTTGAATGTATCTGAACAGTGTGCAAGGGAACACACTGGCAGCAAATCCCTCTCTGTCCTCAGCAACCCTCGTCAGCCCTAGTAAAATGCAGAGACAGACCAAGCAAGCTCGCTTCATACCTTAGCATATGTGAATTTTAGGACCATGGAACTTAAAAATGCAGCTCTTGAAGGACAAACCAGCAGAAGGTAATTCTCTAGCATGGAGACATATTCCCCTTTATCTTCATCTCACCTTCAAGCATCACCGTTCTCAGGAGAGAAAA